GTGCTTATTGCGGTTGCGAGCGGATGGGCATCACGAGAGCGGGAGTGTTAGTAGAGTGTTTGTTAGGCGGATGTGGAGAGAGGAGGTGACAACGAGGGGGGGGATGATCAAGGAGGAGGGAGAAAAGGCTACGCAGACGTATTGCTCATTGTGATATCAGTGATCGTGTCGGGGTAGGAGCTTGACCAGAGAGTTGTGAGATGGGTGGGGGGTGTCAGACGAGGGAGAGTGCAGGTTCGAAGTTGATTGGGCTGGGGGGGGGGTAAGAGGGGGTGGATGGGGAGAGGGGAGGTGACAGCGAGGGGGGGGATGTGATCGAGGAGTGGTGTGAGAAGGCTGTAGGGGATGGGGCGTGGGGCTGGAAGTGGAGAGGAGGTGGTTTTGGGGGCTGAGCATTGGAGTGGGGGGGGCGGGGATGGGGAGAGGGGAGGTGACAGTGAGGGGGGGGATGTGATCGAGGAGGTAGAAAAGGGTAGGCAGACGTATTGCTCGTTGCCATATCAGTGATCGCGCCAGGTGGATATGGGTCGGAGAGGTGCTTATTGCGGTTGCGAGCAGATGGGCATCACGAGAGTGGGAGTGTTAGTAGTGTATTTGTTAGGCGGATGGGGAGAGGGGAGGTGACAACGAGGGGGGAATGTGATCAAGGAGTAGGGAGAGAAGGCTAGGCGGACTTATTGCTCGTTGCGATATCAATGATCGTGCTGGGGTAGGAGCTTGACCAGAGAGTTGTGAGATGGGTGGGGGGTGTCAGACGAGGGAGAGTGTAGGTTCGGAGTTGATGGGGCTGGGGGGGGTTAAGATGGGGTAAAAGGTGTGAGGTGGTTGTAGGGGATGGGGCGTGGGGCTGGGTGAGAGAGGAGGTGGGTTTGAGGGCTGAGCATTGGAGTGGGGGGGGCGGGGATGGGGAGAGGGGAGGTGACAGCGAGGGGGGGGATGTGATCGAGGAGGAGGGAGAAAAGGCTACGCGGATGTATTGCACGTTTCCATATCAGTGATCACGCCGGGGTAGGAGCTTGACCAGAGAGTTGTGAGATGGGTGGGGGGTGTCAGGCGGGCCGTGTGTGTGTGGCGGGGGGG